TGAAAGTCTTATATCTAGATGTCTTTCACGAAACCGTCCTCAACGTTTGGATGTGCCGGTTCCTGTCAGGGATTTTGCTTGGATACCAAAAGCAGACACCCATCCCCCAACACAACCCGCTCCAGCAAAGAGTAGCTTTCCACTATCGAGTCTAGCCGACGCCTACTGCAACATACACAGCTTGTGCACCACGCTACACTATACACTACGCCCATCCCCTGACTCCATTCCTGTCAGGGACTTTGCATGGAGACCAAAAGCAGACACCCATCCCCGAATACAACCCTTCCTGCAAAGCGCAGCTTTCCACTATCGAGTCTAGCCAACACCTACTTCAACACAAACAGCTTGTGTGCAAAGTTCAACACCGCTCTACGCCCATCCCCTGACTCCATCCCTCCTGCGATGAGAAGCTCTCCACTATGGATTCCAGCAGCTGCTCCTTCCGAAGGGTTCTGCCGTCGCGCTGCTGCGGCACTTCCAACTTCGCGCACAGCTGCCGCAGGTCGGAAGTGCTCTTGGCCTCCAACTCGGTCCGCAACCATGCCGCGCCTCCCTCTCCATGTCCCTCTCGCAGCCGCTGTACCTCTGGCTCCTGCTGCCCTGCTTCCTGTATGGGAATTTGCAGGGATATCAGAAGCAGACACCTATTGGAGCACAAGAAAACAGCGTCTCAACTAAGTTGACCTGTACACTGCACCCATCCCCTAACACAAATTGGGTATCTTAACAAAGATTGTTGGGTATCTGAACAAAGATTGAAAGTCTTATATCTAGATGTCTCTCACAAAACCGTCCTCAACGTTCGGATGTGCCGGTTCCTGTCAGGGACTGCATGGACACCAAAAGCAGACACCCATCCCATCCCCGAACACAACCCTCCCTGCGAAGAGCAGCTCTCCACTATCAAGTCTAGCCAACACTCACTTCAACACAAACAGCTTGCGCGCAAAATTGCACTAAACACTACGCCCATCCCCTTACTCCATCCCTCCTGCGATGAGAAGCTATCCACTACGGCTTCCAGCAGCTGCTCCTTCCGAAGGGCTGTGCCGTCGCGCTGCTGCGGCAGCCCCAACAAAGCGCACAGCCGTCGCAAGTCGGCGCGGTTCTTGGCCTCCAACTCGGTCCGCAACCACGCCGCGCCTCCCTCCCGGTGTCCGTCTCGCAGGCGCTGTGCCTCTTGCTCCTGCTGACCCGCTGCCTCCGCGTTTCGCAGAACTGCGTCCTGCAGAGTGGCCATGGTCCGCGCGCCTCTTGACGAGAAGCTTCTGAGGTGTGTTGAAACTTCTTGCAAGTACATTCTTCACGACTCTTGCCTTGCTGTACGTTCCCGGCTACAGTCTGTGGAGACTTGCGCGAACTCACTTGGAAATTGCTGCGGTCTCTCTGCTTGAGCCACGAACACGAAACGAAACGTGGCTAAGATCTACAGCACCAAAGACCTGCGAAAGAATTTCATGAACATCTGCTTTATGCTGGCTTTGCCACCTACTATCTATACGTACATATATACATCTATATAAGAATACTATGGCAGCCAGCGTGCTGGCTTTGCCATCTAGATTATGGGAGCCAGCTCACTGGCTT